GCTTAACATTTGAAAAAATCAAATTCACCATATTAATACATTAAAAGAAATCACAATTATATAATAGATGTGCCCCTCCAAATAGCAGCCAATAAAATTTAACATTTCCCAAGATAAAAACTGTTGGCAAACTAAGAGAATTTAATAAATTTGATAAAACTAATTAAAGTTAAAGTGTATCTACAAATCTAACTGCAGCAAATACCATAATGGTTGAAACATTCAGAGACTTCCCTTTGAGATTACTAACAAGTCAACAATTTGCCCATAACCACTGCTCTTCAGCACTATATACTTGAAGTCCTAGTCAATATAAATAGACCAGAAAAAGAAATTTGTATATCATATACCAACTGAAGAAGAAATAAAAGTTTGAATCCTGGCTCTGCTACTTGCCAGCTATGCAGATCTGGGCAAAGTTCTTAACATCTCTGTGCCTCAGTTTTCCCAACTGTAAAATGGAGATGAGTGCCACCTCTCACGGCTGTTCTGAAGAATAAATAAGTTAATATTTAAAGGTACATAACATATGTTAATAAAAATAAATTATTCACAGATGATTATATATATATATATATATATATATATATATATATATATATATATATCTCAAAGAATCCCGAGATAAACCATTAGGACTAAGAGTAAAAATCAGAGTTCTCCCCACCTCCACCCCAGCATGCCCAGGCTTTTCTTCCCTCCTGGGCATGCATCTCCTAAATCTAAGGGTCCCCATGAGACTTGCACTCCGGGGAGCAATGGGCAGCTACAGCTTTCCCAGGCTTACCACTTGAACCTGTCCCCGAGGCCCTTTTTCTCTGACTTTCGGTGAAGCTAACAGCCTCTACTCGGCTCACTTCTTTCACTGTGATGTGAACTTCTCAGTGAGTCCACATGGCCCCGTGTGGCTCACTTTCCTGTCATTTCTAGGGAGCCAAAGCAGTCCCGCCTTGGCTCTCTCCTGTTGCCTCTTCTGTCCTCAGCCCTTCCTTGTTTCACTGTCCCCAGCTTTAATAAACATACTCTAAAACTAAATAAATGAGTAAGTAAAATCAGTATTTCTATATATTATTAGTAACAAACATAAAATGACATCTAAAAAATATCAAATACCTGGGAATAAAACTTAACAAAAGACATGAAAGACCTCTAAGGGATAATTATAGATTCAGTGCAATCCCAATTACAACTGAGAGAACTCAACAAGTTTATTCTAAAATGTGTACAGAAATGTAAAGACAATACCAAGAACTATCAAGACACTCTCCTAGGAAAACAAGGTGGCAGACTTACCTTACTATGCAACAAATCCCAACACTGATGTCTAAATTGTCCATTAACTCACCTGGAAGAAGATATCTTTTTGGAATATTCTCTCATTAGATATGTCTCCATAGTTCTTCCCTCAACTTCCTTAAGATCTTTGTATAAATGTCATATAAGAATCCTTCTGGTTTTCCCTGTATAAGACCCAATACCTCTAGTCATTTTATTCCCCTCTCTAACTTTCCCCAAGTTTAGAATACTGTTTTAGACACTCAAAACCAACCAGTATGTAAATACCAGTTTTTAACAATGATATTTCACACTTTAATAATGAAAATTAATGAAACAGACCTGTTAAAAGGAACCACATAAAACCAAAGAACTAACATGCTTATATGCATAACCCAGGGACCCAGACAATAGTGCAGCACAGGCCTGGGGGCAGGGGGTGGTGGAAGGGTCACTAGAGAAAAAAGGAACATCTGTAATGTTTCCAACAATAAAGATAAATTTAAAATAAATAAAAAATGTACATCTGAGAATCTTGTGATTCTGAACAGAAAGGCAACATGATCTAAGGAGCAGGAATTTATGCATTTTGCTCCCATGTCATGTAGGAATTAAAGCATGATATGATGGTTTTCAACATATGCTTTATCTTTAGATGATCGAAGTTTATATTTAGCTAGACAATATGGTATGGAAAGTCTTACATATTTACTAATTAACACAATTAGCCAAGAAAATAACAATGGGTTGTGTAAACTTGACACAAAGAGCTAACTAATTCAGTGTTCTGAAGGAGCATTTGTACTTTTAAGACAATCGAGTTAAACTGATGTTTTTCCATAATGAACAGCAGGTGGTACTATTATAATCTTTGCATTCTTCTTCCTCACTATCTTGTGATTTTCCCACAGGCCTTAAGAAAGCAAAGTAGAGCCAAAACCAGTTTAGCTCAATGGATAGAGCGTCGGCTTGGGGACTGAAGAGACCCGGGTTTGATTCCGGTCAAGGGCATGTACCTTGGTTGCAGGCATATCCCCAGTAGGGGGTGTGCAAGAGGCAACTGACCAATGACGCTCTCTCATCGATGTTTCTAACTCTCTATCTCTCTCCCTTCCTCTATGTACAAAATCAATAAAATATATTAAAAAAAAAAAAAAAAAAAAGCAAAGTAGAAAGGGTTTTACCAGGTTTGGTGAATTAAAACCTGTCTTGAACCCTAAGTGTCCTCTTTTTTAGGCTAGTCTGGAGTTGAACTCCATGGGAATCTGACTTAGTCCTAAATTAATCCATGTTTGAAGAACCCCTGGGAGATGAAGGAACTACTGAAGCCAATTGAAAGTTCTAGTCCATTTTAAAACTGAGACGGAGGTGGTACTGGTTGGGGGTACAATCAGAAAGGTGAACTGAATTGCATGGCACTTTTGCTATATTCCTCCTAAAATCATTTAGCTTTCCATTTAACCTTTAGTTTTTTACAGAAATGTCAAGAAGGCAGTCAACAGATTTATTTAGATTATCTTCATTAAGTATTAATTCTGAAATAGGAAAACAGAAAAACCATCTGTGCATTTTATAGAGGCTACGAGAATAGAAAGCGATTACAATTATTAGCTTGTATTTAACTGGCTCTTGTTTCATAATATAATGTTGCTAGAGTATAATCTCATATATATATATTTTTTTAAATTGATTTTTTACAGAGAGGAAGGGAGACGGATAGTTAGAAACACCGATGAGAGAGAAACATCGATCAGCAGCCTCCTGCACATACTGGGGATGTGCCCACAACCAAGGTATACGCCCTTGACCAGAATCAAACCTGGGACCTTTCAGTCCATAGGTCGATGCTCTATCCACTGAGTCAAACCGGTTAGGGCAGAATCTCTTAAAATAGTCTTATATTTTTTATTTTTCTGTTAAGGATTATAGTACTTATCTCTTCACAACTTAATAATAGATATAATCTATTTGCTTTCCAACCAATTTCCTTTTTAAAATGAAATTATTTTTATGAATTAAGCAACTCTTTTCTGAAGAAAGGCAGGTATTAGACATAAAGAAAGGTTTCTAACAACTATTTGCTGATAAGTTCAGTAAATGCTTCCCTTTGGGCTGAGAACAGAATGCAGAATTATATCAATGGCTTTCAGTACTTATGAATAATGATCACATGGCAAATGAATATTCCTATTCTTATAAAAACACTGATGCAGAAACCATAGGCAGTAATACATTAGTATTTACATTTATTTCATGTATGCAGTATACACACTCACTATTGAACAAAATTGGAATGCAAACAAATATACAAACACCATAATAAGCATTATCAAATAAAATAACTGGCACTAGTGTTATAAGCATAGCAATGAATGGACCTGTGAGTAAAAGTGACGTCAGAAGACTGCAGCCCATGGCATTTTTCTTTTTATCAAAAGAAAATGCTCAGTAGCACCATAATGGTAATACTTAAAAGAAACATGTAAGATGAAACATTTTAACTGCTATCAGTGAGGTTAACCTGTTTTACTTAAGTGAATTATACAAAAATTTAACAGTACAGGCAGTATTTTGGCCAACTTCTGTTTATGTCAGCTGAACATCTTCCATAAACAAAAGCAAAAGAAAATAAAGCCAACCGTTCGTGGACCCCTCCTTAGTTCTTGGTACAAACTCTGCACCATACTTTGATTTTATGAATGGAGAAGATTCGCATGTGTTAAAAACTGAGGTTATGTGAAGTTATTCACTAAAGCCTGAGTGTGTCTTTGGTAGGCTAATACTTTTTCAGCATTGTTATTAATCATAATAATATTATCTAGCCTGCATTTTTCTACACAATCCATGACGGCTAGAGAGGACATTATGGAAAATAATACAGAGAAATCCTCAAATAACTAGAATCTTAAAATCTAGTCTATACCAAAGGCACCAAGAATCAATGGGGTGCAAACTTCCACTTAGTGAAAGGTGACTTATTTGTAATACTTATAAACTAATGGAATTTTGTTTTGAAGTTTTATATATCTTATTTGGTGCTGTCAGTATACTTAATTACCTACCTTTATATTTCTATGATGGCATCAACAATATACAAGATATATAGAATACCAGGTATTTCTATTTCAAAGTTGTGCAAAAAATTGCCACAATCTTGGTCAAAGTGTCCAAGTATCCAAATGGTAGCAAATGGGCTGCATTAAGCTTTACATATTCACATTGCATATGAAAAAAATTTATGCCCAGTTATGAATAGAAATGTAACAAAGAGTATTATATACTGAGAGTAATCTGCAAGGTTCTTTAAACAGTATTCTTTAGTGGTTTCAAAAAAATGTCATTAACCACTTAACCCTAAGCCTCAAGCTTTCTTCACAAGAATGCTATAGAACTGCATTAGTATTTTATACTGATTATAAATTAAGCCAAATTTATAAGTACACAGGTATGTGCTTCAAGCAGTCTTTTGTGGCAAATGCACAAAACATACTTCTCTGAAAGGATCATTGTCCTTACAATAATGCACTATTAAAGCCTTCATTTCATAGTTTGGTAATTAAGATTCACATGAAACACAATGCTTTGCTGAATACAGAAAATATATCTGCATTACGATTATGTAACCTGCCTTTTGCTGGTAATTTGAAACTTAAAGTAGTCACGTGTAGTTCAACCAGCTCCAAACAAGGTTGCTCAGTGGTAATTATTCTGCAGCATCTATAGGCCTAAATTTCAGTCTGAATCGCAACTTTTAATTCCATTGTCTGATGTGAGTGGTTGTTGTTTGTTTCTTTTAGTGCATCACCAAAATATAAATCAGCATTGGATTTTATTCCATTGTTACCATGTTCTCCAGCAATATGATTCAACTGTGGAACTTCAGAACATGAAGCAGTTTGGGAAAGCACAGAAATACTACACTGATGTGGAGAATTTTCCAGACGGTCGTTTTCTACCTCAGGAAGAATGTTAACAGTAGCGAAACGGGCATGATAATCATTGGAACCATGGCTACAAGAAGTTTTCATGCTTTCTAGGTCAGAACAACTAAATTCAGAAAAATGACTAGAGTGGGAGTCTGCTACAGATGGCATACTGTCACTGAGGGATGGAGCCTCAAACTCACTTGAGTTCGTGCTTTGTTGTTCCAACAACTGTGCATCCATGTCTTCTCTGGTCTCATTTATCTTCATGTTGCTCTTTTTCCTCAATTTACCACTTTTTGATTTCTTTCCTGTTGTTGCTTCTTTGGACCACTTGGTGGCACTGGATTTACCTTCAGGCAAGCCATTGGATGAACCACTAGGATGACTTCGGGTGGCACTGCCATCCTCCACACTGCTGCTTCCACTGTTGTGCCTGAATTTGGATGGCTTTGACTCAATATCTACTTGCACCTCCATACTGTTACCTTCTCTGAAAAATAAGAGTAACAAATATAAATAAATTTTTAACTTCCTTTTAATTTTTTTTCAGATGACATCAAAAAAGGATGGGTGTCTATGTGAAAAATTCAAAGGCTATATAAAAGCTGCCAGAATAAATTAAAGCAAGATACATTCTACTACTACAAAAAAAAAAAAAAAAAAAAAAAAAAAAAAAAAAAAAAAAAAAAAAAGAGCCCTGGGTGAAATTAAAGGACTATAATTCTGTTTCAATCGAAAGAAAAGCAAAACAGAAGCAGCTACATAAATGTACCTGTTTAAAGTGTACAATTCAGTGGTTTTTAATATATTCAGAGTTGTCATCAATGACCACTGCCCTAACTTTAGAACATGTTCATCCTCCCCCCCAAAAACCCTACACCCATTAAGCAGTTAATACCCATACTTCCCTCTCCCAACACTGGCAACAGATTAGCCTATTCTGGACATCTATTTTCTTTCTCTAGAGAACCTAATAGTTAATAACCATTATTCATGATAATTTTGCATAATGACAGGGATAATTCTTTTTAAATTAATTTTTAAAATACTTCTGACTTTATCACAATTCCTTCTTACTTGTCCAATGGGATGTAGGAATTCAGAATGGATCCCGCCATTGCTTTGGTGCTGGCATTATCACTAACAGTTCCCAAGCTGACCGTGCCAGATTCTCCACTTAGACTGCACCGTTCTTTTTGTACATCTGCTTGTACTTCCAACCTTAAGAGGGAAATTCCAGATAAAATAGAAAATATATAGAATATCAGCACTATTATAACATGTATCTTTAAAAAATGTTTTTATTGATTTTTTTTTTAGAGAGGAAGGGAGAAGGATAGATAAAAAAGTCGACGAGAGAGAAACATCATCAATTGGCTGCTCCTGCATGCCCCCTACTGGGGATCAAGCCTGCAACCCAGACATGTGCCCTGACCAGCAATCAAACCAGTGACCTCCTTCCTCTAGGTTCAAGCTCAATCAGTGAGCCACTATAATAAGTATCTTTGTTTGTTAATCCTCACCTGAGGATATTTTTGTTATTGTTAGAGAGAGTGGAAGGGAAAAGGAGAGACAGAGATAAACATTGATGTGAAAGAGAGACAGCATTGGTTGCCTCCCGAATGGGCCTGACCAGGGCTGGGGATTGAGCCTGCAACTGAGGTACATGTCCTTGACCTGGACCCTTCAGCCTATGGGCTATCACTTTATCCACTGAGACAAACCAGCTAATAACATCTATCTTTAGGTAATTCAGCTAAGAGCCCTAGTAATAATAAGCTATTTTAGAAGCTACTATACATATTATTCTTAAAGTTTCTTTTTATTTGATTATTCAAATTCTACTGCAGTGCACTGACTAGTACCAGCAATCCTAATGAAATGAGAAAAATTAGTTGTCTGCCAAGTAAGGTAACAGCAGAATAGCACAGACATAAAGGAATTCAAGTTAAATATGCTATATTATTTTCACTCAGGATGTGGCACTTTGCTTGGCATGTTCAGTGCAAAACACAAATATATTAAAAACCATTCTTCATGAAAGATCAGTGAATCAAAAAATCCTGGCAATCTATATGTTAAAAATGGTTCTATAAATTTAATACCCAAGTCTTTAAGAAAGACACAATATAGGTCACTATAACTTAAGAGTTTGTGTTTAAAAGCAAACTACCTAAAAATAAGATAAGTATGACCAATTTACCTTTTAATTCATGTACTGTCTACATTTTAAAAGAAGCTAATAAACATAGTTAAAGAACAGCAAATAAAAAGGAAACAAGGAAAGATAAAAATGCTTTAGCTTCTCCTATTTATCTCTATGGCTGTTAGTAAAAGACTTGGGGAGAATGAAATAAGCGTTAAATAAAAGGACCCACGCTGACATTCCAGCCTCAGTCAAGCATTCCCAAGTATCCTGACTCACCCTCCCTCAGCTCTCAGCCAAGCCAAGGTCTCACTTCCCAAGAGCCAGCTGTCCCCTCCAGAGACAAGGCCCACCCCACACACTGCCTTTTCTGTGCTCACTGAAGCTGCTCCAGCATTCAAACATAATTATTGACAAAGGCCACAAAAAACATGGCAAAATTAATTTTTACCTCATATTTATATTCTTACAGAAAATCCAAACAAGTAAAAATCTCATTTACTGCTTACCAATAATTTCACTTCTTAGTATTAATTTTTTCAACCCTGACACAGTAGGGAAATATGTAATCATGTTCAAAATTCTCCTCATCAAATTAATAATCTGTAGTTAACAGAAGGCAGATACGTAACAAATCAAAGCACATTTTCTTACCTGTTGAAGCAGTTAACCATGGCACTTCCTGACAGACTCCCCGTTATGCTGGCTCCAGCCAGTGCCATGGTGCTGGCCGTTTCACTCAGATTGTCTCGAATGGCTCCGATCCGATCCATGTGGCTTCCACTTGCACTCAAGCTGCCGGTCAGACCACCAACACTTCCCTCCCCTATACTCGGGTTGTGTCTTGCTTCTGCTACTGAAGTTGTGTCTAAATGCAAATATTTCAAAGGAAGTAAATAGTATAATTATTAACATCCCTCTTCTTAAATTCCTCCATGATTTTAGATAGGGCATTTTATCATATACATTATAAAATATACACAGGAATAGGAAAAAAAGTCTGAGATAAAAGCCTAGAAGTGGAAGTGTACTGGGCACCCTCAAAAACATCAGGAACAGTGGTATAAAACAGGAGAATGACAAGAAATGAGGTGAGATACAGCCTGGACAGATCACGTGGGGTTATAAGGACTTCAAATTTTTTCCTCCCAGTATAGTTACTATAACTGTATTCAGGATAGGAAAGACATGATCTAAGTTATATTTTATTTATTTATTTATTTGTGTTTTTATTGATTTCAGAGAGAAGGGGGAGAGAGAGAAACATCAAAGATGAGGAAGAATCATTGATTGGCTGCCTCCTGCACGTCCCCTACTGCAACCCGGGCATGTGCCCTTCACGGAAACCCAACCTGGGATCCTTCAGTCTGCAGGCCAATGCTCTATCCAGTGAGCCAAACCAACCAGGGCTGAGTTGTTTTAGAAGTTTCATTATGACTGCATAGTGGAATAGGGAGTGGAAACTGAGAAGCTGATAGATCAGTTAAGAGGCTATTACGATAGTCCAGGAAATAGGATAGTAGTAGCTTAGATTAATAGAATAACAGTGGGGAGGGAAAGAATGGTTAGATTATGGCTAAATATTGAAGTAAGTAGCAAAATTTACTGATGGATCAGATGCAGCATAAGAAGGGAAAAGGGGGAGTCATCATAAGTGAAGGTTTTTAGCCCAAGCAACAGCAAGAATGGAGAATCTACTTAATGAGGGGAGGATAATGGAAAGAACAACAGATTTTAGAATTAAAGTTTGGTTACAGATAATTTAAGCTTAAAATTCTCATTAGACATCAAGTGTAAAGAGAAGAGATGTACAAGTGTGAAGTTCAGAGGAGAGTTCTAGCCTAGATACAAATTTAAGAGCAGTCAGTCTATAAATTATTTAATAGATGAAATACGGAGGGAGGGAGTGTAGATAAAGAGGAGAAGTCTGAGAATTGAGAAACTCCAAAATCTAGAGGTCGGGAGAGAAAAGTGAACCAGCAAGGAAGACTGGAAAGATGTGGCCAGGAGATATGATGAGATAGTTTTCCAGAAGACAAGTGAAGAAAATGGTTTAGAAATGAGGGCACAGTCTACCAAGTCAGGTGTACTCTTATATTAAGATGAAAACTAAGAATTGACCACTCTACTTGGTAACACAGAGGTTTGCTTTGTTAAGAGTGATAGAAATCAAATTCTGGAGTGATAGGGACTAAAATCTGATTGGAGTGAGTAGTTCAAGAAGGAATGGGAGGTAAGAAAGTGGACTTTATCTTTGTGTATTTGCCTGACAAATTTCTATAACAACTGCTGGACTATAAAACATGTACATGCTTTAAGGTTTATTAACTTTCACTTCTACTGACAGCACATAAGGGCCTTTTCATTCTCCAGTTATTGTTCTAATTAATTTTTCTTTGAATAACACTGGGTTAATACTCATTTGACATCTGTATTTCTTCTTTTATGAACTGTATTTACTTTTCATATCCTTTTTCTTACTGATTTTCAATGTTTCAGGCAAACTTAAGATTAAAATTCTAGAATTTCTATGACATTATGTTTCCACTAGAAACTACTCCACCTTCTTTCATCCATTCACCTCTCCTTGGCAGTTCGTTTCCTGAGATACTTCTCGATGACTACTACTGGGCACAGTAAAAGGAGGGCAATGGAAATTCTGACTTGCATGTTGTCTACAGCCTCCCCCTACTTAAACTATTAGGAAGTACATTAATTTCCCTTCCTTTCCTTAAAGGACTTACCTACAGCTGTGTTATTTCCACCAACATTGATATCATTTTCATCATCAAATTCAATTCTGACTCCTTTTCCATTGCCTGCTGAGACTCCACATCCTCCACTTCGACAGAGAGAAATTGGAACAACGCCGTAGACATAAGCTAACATAATAGGAACACCAATACCTAAAGAGAAATTATATTAGTTATTATAAACCAAAAACTAAATCACAGAAACCTGAGTTGCAGAAAGTCTTTTCAAGAGACGGTGTATAGGAGGTAAATCCAAAAGTGGATTGACCTGTTTGGGGACACAAGCAAATTCAAAGGGTCTAGCCTTTCAGTTGACATACATGAAGAAGAAAAAAGATGTAGACCTTTTCAAGTGTATTTGGGGGAGGGGGGAAAGAGTAACTGCCACTAGTAGTTACCAACTATCCCAAGGCTGGGCTCTTGAGTCTATAATACCTTAACCAACATAATTACTAAATGAGAAGTTTTCAGTAGGTTCAGCTTAAATGATCTTAAAATAACTTCTTTTAAATTTAATAATATAATGTTTTATTTTTTAACATCCTTCTAGAAAACTTTTATAAATTCTGAGGTCATTAGTATTTTTAAACATTTTCTTACCTACTGTTACTGCAGCTACAACTGGAGATACGATTACAGACAATGTTACACCACCTGCTATAGCCAAATTCCGTTTGTGCTTGGAAATGTCCTTGCCTTCATATCGATTGTGAATCTTGAATTAAAAATAAACACAGGGGTGGGAGATTAAAGAGAAAATATATTACATACTTATTTAAATGAAATAGACCCACATTTGCTAGAAGTTTAAGGTGATATTTCTTGTAATTTCAGTTAAGATTCAAAGTAAACATTATTGTTCTTAGACCATATTCTTACATAATTTGCTCTTTATTAATTTGCTTACATATATAGTGATTTAATAGATTTTATACTTTGTAGTCTTTGTAATTTTACTCAAAAACAGTATAATCATGTTTTTAGCCAAGGAATTAAAAGTATTATTTCTAACATAGCTATGAGTTAGATATCTGACTAATAGGATTACTTTTACAAAATTTAGCATTCCACAAGTTTTCTTCCAAATAAGTATCCCTAAATAATAATAATTGGCTCATAAGGGTGGTTTCCACAACCTTTTTAAAAACTGACCTTTAAAAGCAGTACTAATAGGCAAACATCACTAAATAGAATAAAAATTAAAAAAATATATATATATTATTGATTTTTTACATAAATGAAGAGAGAGGGATAGAGTTAGAAACACCGATGTGAGAGAATCATCTATCAGCTGCCTCTTGCACACCCGCTACTGGGGATATGCCCGCAACCAAGGCACATGCCCTTGACAGGAATTGAACCCGGGACCTTTCAGTCCACAGGCTGATGCTCTATCCACTGAGCCAAACCGGTTTCGGCTAGAATCAATTTTTTCATCAAATCCCTTTTTATGAAGAAAAACATTATCAAAGACTCAGGATCCTAGGTTTTCATTTATAGTTCAGAGTAAGGGGTAGAGAGAGAAAAAGAGAATAAACTATACCGCCAGAAGACAGGTGTTGGATCTACTTAGCTTCTTTGTACCGTAGAGGTGTTACCAGACAGAATTTAATATCACTATGAAAGTGGCTTGTGAGATATAATATGTACTTTGAGAAATAGCTCAGTATCTTTATTCTCATGGTTTGCAAGGACTAAAGCTAGTAAGTAAATTTTTTTCTTGTTTCAAGACAAATTTAAACAGCCTCAAAAGTGTACAGGTAATCTTTCAAATAAAATACCTGACTTATAAACAATATTCAGATGAAGCTTTAAGAAATCTATTCTTATTATGTGGTTATTTGGAAGGCTCTAAAAGTACAAGGAGTATCACAGGATATATTAAACAGTGATAAAGCTGGGGTGGGAAAGTGAGCAAAGCATGCATTGACAAAGAATATTTATGTTTCCCCACCAAATCCTGTTTCCCAGCACTGAATGGGCCTCTACATTTTCCTCAATGGTCCATGTAGACGAGACTACAGACCTTCCCAAGGTACCTTTCATTATTCTTCAATTCTGCAACCAATTCCTGCTGCTCCTCACTCCTACTCCTAGAAAAAACTTAGCACTGAAGCGGGGAAAAGCTAAAGCTACAACTGATGGAGTAAACTCTGCAAGGTAGGCTGTCAGGGAAAGGAGTCTTTCAGAAAAGTTTGCATCAATGTTCAATTACAGTAATCGGGTCATCCCGTTAGTTCTGGTTCAACTTTTACTTATTTATTTTTTGCTATTTTGTCCCACATTTTCTATTTGTTATTATAAATAAAGGCTCAGCTTTTAGGTACTTTATCAACCTAATAGGTTTTCCTGGGCTGGTTTGTGTCCCTGAACTCCACAGAACATTGTTTCGGTGGAAAACTAATTCATCACCTTGCAACCCTTTGCGTATGTTTGAAAAAAGGAGACTTGTGACTGTACCTCAGACTTGAACAATGAGGTAAATAATCTCTCCTCTATAAATTATTTGTAGATGTGTGCAGTATAAGAGTCTCTTGTTCCCTTCTGCTTCAAAGTATCAAGTAAACAGTTTTGTTTTCAGCAAAGCCTTGCTTTGGATAATACATAAAAAGTTATTACAATCAGCTATTATGTTTGGGACAATTTTAAGTTTAGTTACATCAGTCTTCTAAAAATAGACATTTGGCTCATAAATATGTTTCTCTTCTGAATCAAAGCTAATTTAAAAATAGCATATATTGAACTATAATTAAACAAAATAATCCAGACTCAACATAAGAATTTTCTAACAATTACAGCTACCTGGCAACAGAATGGGCAGCCTCAGGAGCTGATGGTTTCCCATCAATGAAGCACCCAAATGGCTAGACTGAAATTTATCAGGGATCTTACCTACAGAATTTGTGCATCTGGGTTTAAATCCCAGCTCTGCTTCTTTCTGTGTAATTAAGATAAATTACATAAACCTCAATATTCTAACACATAAATTGCTGTGAGGTCAAAATGAGTTGAAGTATATAAAACACCTACCACACAATAAGGACTCCCATCCTCCTTTTAAAAAATCTTATACTTTGTTCTGCTTAGCGTTAGATAATTTCTAAAATTACTTCTCAATTCTGAGATTCTATTAATTTAGATAGCAGCAAACTTCTTTGTCACTTCATAAATTATCCCTTTAACCTTTCAAAAAATTATTTCCTTACCACTCGTAGGCAAGTGGTAACAGTTTGGACTTTCACAAAATTGTTAACAATCTATAACAAGTATATTTATTAACTAGAGGCCAAATGCACAAAATCTGTGCACTGGGCGGGGGAGTGTGGGGGGCAGACACGGACATTCCTCAGCCTGGCCTGCGCCCTCTCACAGTCTGGGAGCCCTTGGGGGATATCTGACTGCCAGCTTAGAGGAGCGGGCCTAAGCTGTCAGCTGGACATCCTTTGTGCTGCAAAGGTGGTGGGAGAGGCTCCTGCCACCACCTCTGCACTCGCCAGCTGTGAGCCCAGCTTCTGGCTGAGCTGCGCTCCCCCTGTGGGAGTGCACTGACCACCAAGGGACAGTTCCTGTGTTAAATGTCTGCCCCCTGGTGGTCAGTGAGCCTCATAGCAATCGGTCATTATGCTGTTCAGTCTATTTGCATATTAGCCCTTTATTATAGAGGAGGATAGCAGCAAACTAAGGGGGAGAAGAAGCTTTGAACTGAAGTTGAAAATAATTAAAAAATTGGATAATTATTTTTTGCCTGAGGATATATATTTTTTAGCCATTAACTTTTTATAGACTTGACTATACAAGAATATACTCATGAGAAAAATGGGCAGATGTGTATTTGTTAGTACTTTATACTTAAAGTTCATTTACAATGACAATGTACTAAAGTTTTCCAATTCAGATAACATCAAAACAATTCTATTTTTAAACATCATATGAACTTGCCAAACACTAAAAATTTATTATTGCCTTATGAAAAAATATTGTTTTATAATGAAGATACTAAAAACGACCCTAGTCTTTCAAAACAAAATAAAATAAAACAGTCATAGTCACTTTGATTCAGTGAATAGAACACGGACTGAAGGGTCCTGATTTCAATTCCAGTCAAGGGCCATATCTCGGTTGCAGGCTTGACCCAAGGCCTGGTTTGGGCATGTGTGGGAGGCAACCAATTGATGTCTCTCTCTCACATCATGTTTATCTCCCTGTGTCTCTGCTCCTCTCTTCCACTCTCTCTAAAAATCAATGGGAAAAATATCCTCAGGATGAGAATTAACAAAATAAAAAAACAAAACAAAAATCATCTACCCTAAACCTAAAGATTTACAATAGATAATGAACTAGCAAGGACGTATTTTACCTTGCGGCCCACGTATACAGGAATACCAATAATCATTGCAGGGATAGCAATGCCAGCTATTAAAGCAATTCCTACAGGAGCACCAACGAGTGTTCCCAGCTGCCACAGTATTTTCTTCTTTCGGCTCCAGGGTTTCTTCCCCCAAAAAGTACATCCTGATGGACTAATGGAAAAAATTATAATGTTAAGTAACAGTTGCAAAACATCACAACAAATTACTACAATACAGTAACACAATCACTATAAAAGACTTTCTCATATTTAGAAATGATTTTCCCTTTCTTTAAAATGAGTTCATTAAAAGCCAAAATATCATAAGTATCACCATAAATTATATTTAAAAGATAAGTGGGATTTAGTTTAAATATCTCTAGATTTCCATTAACCTCAAAATTTTAGATTAGTTTTTGAAGAGTATATTAATATTTAAAAAATGCTTATTTTATCCCTGTTTTAGATATTTGTTATCTGATTATATCATAAACTCACACTGTAGCCTAACTGAAGAAATTTATACATGAGAAAATTAAATGGAAAGATATATGACCTAGTATAATTACATGGGCTATTAAATACTAGCTTCCTAGTTTAAAAAAAGGGAAAAATGTTTTCCATTTTTGACTAGTTATTAATCCCAAATGAATAACACAATAATATGCTTTAAAATTTGTGTGTCTAGAATAAACAAGACTCCATAAATCCTGTATAAAAATGCTTAGAATAACACTTTTAAAAAGTCCTTTGGTCTTATAATGTAAAATGATATTTAGATAGAAATAGCTCCTTCAATATACTTACCTTAGATAATGTAAATCTGAGATTTCTTTCATACACAACCAACAAAACTCACAACCACAGACAGCACATGTCATGTGATTACAGCTCCCGTCATTCATCTTTATTATATAAGCAGCACATCGTGGACATGGCTTTATATCATCAGCTAGGGAAAATAAATAGACATGCTTAGTATGTGAAATTGGTCTAAAAATATCAATTTCTATTGGATAATCAATTGTAGCACTGCCAAAAAAATATTATCATGTAGTTTGTTATCTATAGCTTCAGCCCACTATTTTTAGTATATAAAGAATTTTTTCTTCCAATCTGAGAAAAGGAACATATTTTACCTTAATTTTCAAATTGTAAACTTTTTGAAACACAGCAGCAGTACAATAAGAGCAAAGAATAACAAAATGATAGGGAAAACCAAGGACAGCCCCAGATAAACTGTGAACAACATAAAGTTTATCTTTCTGCCTATCCCATAGCATAGTCTTCTCTGGGTGACACTTCATAGCTACAACTTCTCTAACCATCTCCACTTAATACTATTCCTATTAGTGAGTGAATACTAATAGAAAGAGACAATTTGATAATTAATCTGAAGTAGTATTTTATATATATATTTAAAGTTCATTTACAATGACAATGTACTAAAGTTTTCCAATTCAGATAACATCAAAACAATTCTATTTTTAAACATCATATGAACTTGCCAAACACTAAAAATTTATTATTGCCTTATGAAAAAATATTAATTGTTTTATAATGAAGATACTAAAAACGACCTTAGTCTTTCAAAACAAAATAAAATAAAACAGACATAGTCATTTTGATTCAGGGAATAGAACACGGACTGAAGGGTCCTGATTTCAATTCCAGTCAAGGGCCATATCTCGGTTGCAGGTTTGACCCGAGGCCTGCAACCGAGATATGGCCCTTGACTGGAATTGAAATAAAGTACTATAAAAAATAAAGTACTATATAAAATAAAGTACTATGAGTTTACTTCTCTCTTCTAAGTAACATCAACTATAAGTACTGTACAAATAATACATCTTTAGAAAAGCAAGCCTTTTTCTTGTATTTTAGTTCACAGAGATGGGCCTTACAAAGAATCAGTACATGGAAAAAAAGGAAGGAGGTAAGAGGTTAAGGAAGAGTTACATACTTATAAACATTTAAACAATGGAAACCGTTTCAGAATTATAGAAACCATTTGTTGATTATGCTCATGACTGCTTTTCATTTATCATCTTTGCCCTTTTTATTCATTTATTTAAATGCTGTTGTTGTATGTTTCATGGATACTAACATGGTTATGCTGCACAAAGGTGCCAAGTTAAAATCAAATGGGTCCTTAACTTTACAGGTACTGACAGAGTAAGAGTTACCTCAAATTATACAACTATTTTAAACTTTAGCATCTACTTAAATAACAACCAGTAATTATCCTACTGTTACTAGTAGCCAGCTATATTTTCTAATTACATCTGTATAGAGCTAGGCACTGAATTCAAGTATATGGTTCCAACTTAAGGGATAAGCATTAAGCCATACTATATTTTCTATGCTTTAACTATTTGGGAAAAATAGCCAGGTCAGGTTTTATTTTGTTTTGTTTTTAAATAATGACATTGAGAGACTATATTTATTCCAATAATGCTATTATTTGGTTCAAATCCTTTGGGAAAGTTTTTTTTTTCATAATGACTTTCAAAGCTACTTTACATATATTTTAAAAAATCACTCTCATGATCATATAGTTACATCTTACTTTGAATCCAATCCAAACCAGTGATTCAACTTGATATAGTATTTAATTGTTAGTCTTAGTTCCAAAGGAATTTTTGGTCATACCCAAAAAACTCATTAACAATAAGGGGATAATTTAAGTGACTGTATCAGGATCAAAGGTTACAGTGAAACACTGCTGAAATGAACATAAAATCTCCCCTCGTGACTACCATGAGATGACTGAATGATAAAGTTGATTTTTAAATTAATAACAAAAGTCATCTCTTAGTTGTTGTTTCTTTCTCTCTCTAAACCAGTGGTCAGCAAACTCATTAGTCAACAGAGCCAAATATCAACAGTACAATGATTGAAATTTCTTTTAAGAGCCAAATTTTTTAAACTTAAACTTCTAACGGTAGTTCTTCAAAATAGACTTGCCCAGGCCATAGTATTTTGTGGAAGAGCTGCACTCAAGGGGCCAAAGAGCCGCAGTTTGCCAACCACGGGTCTAGGCATATGCAAATCTCTAGCAGGAAACTGTGGTTTATTTAACTTTCCCTACTTATATAGCCAAAGCTTTTACTATGAGCCAGGACATGTTTCAAACGTATAAACGTATTATTAGTATCTTCATTTTGCAGATGAGATAAGTAACTTGCTCAGGACCTCACAGAGACTAAGTGGAGAACCTGGGATTTGAATCCAGACAGTCTGATTCTAAAGTCTATTCTCATACTCTGCAACTGTGTCCTGTAACCAATAAATACTCATTCTCATTTAGAAGAGAGGGATAGCATTTCCAAGTGACCACTCAATGGCTACAGCTGACTCTACAGAGGACAGTTTAGGTATATTCAGGTCCTCTGAATTATTTCTGGACCCGTCACTACAAATCATTATTAATGTTTGAGTTCCACCCCAAATCTTGAGAAAAGGACATACAAACAAGTCAATCAGCAAACAAGCATGAAAATCCATGTACCTTATAGAAAGTATTAAATGTTGAATTTAAAGTATATTTAATTTTAAATGTTTAATTTTAAATTCAACTTTAAATGTTGAAAAGTTTTTTTTTTATAACATAAAGTACATAACGATCTCAATATACTGCTGGTAGGAATATAAATTATTTTCTTGATAAATTTCTATATTTTCCAAGTTTTTTCCTATTGAGGAAAACAAATGAGAATTTTTCTAATAATGATTGAAATTCCAATAAACAATGAAATTTATGTGTAAAATAATTTTTGGAAATTTTATTCAAAAAACATTAAGATGTTCAGAAAATTGCTTATAAATATTGAGATTTATGATGTGCATACATTGCTCATATATTAATATATAGATCGATCCTTGGGTAATTTCTAAACTGCTAGCCAAAGGCCCAAACTTCCTAATGTCCTCCCCACTTAAGGTATGACTTTGAATCTTTGGTCCTGAAATTGAGACATCTTTAAATAAAGAATGTATTTCACAAAATATGATACTGGTTTTAAACTGTAACTTTGTGGTATTTACATAATTAGAAACAATCTAAAGGTAACAGATTTAAAATTAGTATTTTATTAAAAATATGTGCTAAGCTTTGCATAAAATACCTTTATAAACAACAGTTTTGGACCATGTTTTGCTATCAGTTACTATAAATCATTATGATACCTCCTTTTTTCTTTTTATGTTTTGTTAATAAAATCTTTCCAATCTTAATACCACTGTCTTCCATAGGAAAGAATGAGTGCTTCTGGAACAGAAATGTTAACACATGAAGACAACAGGAACTTAATATTATATTTTTTTACTTAAAATAACTATGTTCTGTATGTGTCAAATATTTTATTGAAAAGTTAGACATAAGTACCTGCTGCTCCAGACTCCTGGCTGTAACTAATGGATGAAGAACGTATGGTTCTCAGGCGTAAACTCTGGGCTCTCTCTTGCCGAGCAGCATCACAGGTCTGATTTGGGTGCCAAATCTGTTTACAGTGGTAGCAAAACTCTGTTCCACAGCCTTCTCGCCCACAGGTTAATTTTGGACAGCTAGCACATCCAAATGCTATCACAGCATATCTTAAAAAAAAAAAAAAAAAAAGTTTAAAACGTGACATATAAGAGTTACTAAGTAAAAGTATTATCCAACTTAAATGCTATTTCTGAAGAAGTTTTCGATTTATGCATGAGTAAATAGTTACAAGTCCTAACATCTTATCAATATAAAAAGAGGGGGGAAATAGTTCACAAATGGCATATATATGGCTAAAAAATTTTAAAGTTCAATTTTAACTTCTAACTTTCAATTTTAACTAGATGCCAAATTGTGTATACAATCTATACTGCATATACAGTACAAATTTTATAAAAATTTCATTAAATTCTATTGTGTGCACAGAGAAAAGATCAGAAGGAAATACACCAAGTCTTAAAGCATTTTTTCTAGTATTAGGGTTTTAATTTTCTTCATTTCTGATTTTTACAATTAGTTGTTACTTTTCAAATCAGAATGATAAAAACAAAACAAAAACTAGCTCTAGCTATTTAAAACATAATAACTATGAACTAGCAACACCAGTCAGTTAATGACAATCTGTGCCAATTCATACATTTGGTAATTATCTTGTATTTATATTCATGGACCCCATGAATCAGGAGATGAGGGTTTGATTCCCCAGTTAATTCAAACTAAGCAAAACTAAAGTACTTTTTGTTAGTTTGTTTTTTACCATAATATTTGCTGAAAGAATTAACATTCTAACAGTATAAGTACACACTATTTCTTGAATTTATTTGACCACGATATCTAGTTACAGGGAGTTTCACAGTACTACAATTCCACAACTTGTACTATTGATAGGGAGGAAGTAGGGATACCAGTTAGAGTAGTATATCCTGCCTAGAGAAACTTTCTTGGGAAGCAACAAGAACAAACTATAACTAACATGAAATGTAATCTTAAGAGAGATATAATGGTTCCAATAAAAATTTTAATTTAAAAAATAAGAAATAAGAATGAAGAAAGATTATCCAGGAGTCCAAGTAAACCTTTTTTCAAAAACACAAAGCTTTAGCAAGCTTAAAAACAACAACAAAGAAAATATAATCAGAAATACTGAAATTACTTTATCCAGTTAAGGAGAAAAGTCACTTCTTATAAGAAGTTAAACACTGCTCGGCCAGTGGTTGAGCGTCGATCTATGAACCAGGATGTCACGGCTCATTCATGGTCAGGGCACATGCCCAGGTTGCGGGCTTGAACCCCAGCAGGGGGCAGCTGATCAACGATCCTCTCTCATCACTGATGTTTCTCCTCTCTCTCTCTCTCTCTCTCTCTCTCTCTCCCTTCTTCTCTAAAATCAATAAAATTATTTTTTTTAAAAAAGAAGTTAATATTATTTCAGTGGAAAAGGAGTGACAATATATTTGGGAGAAGATCTAGAAAAATTGAGGCACATCTCATTGGTTCCCTTTAACATCTACTTTCCACTGCATGCTGCAAGGGACACCTACAATTGTCAAGGCAACTGTCCAGACTATTTAGAAAAGTCTAATTTAGAGAGAGAGTGTTGGCAAACCTTTTGGGCTATAATATTTAAAACCACATTCTTTAGTTCACTAAATAAGAGAAAGCTAACATGTCTCATATATATATATATATATATATATATATATATATATATATATATATATCAACTAGTTCTTAACAAAGGTGTGAGGGGAAGAACGTTATTTTTATTGATTCCCTAAATTCCACCAAAATATCCTAGTATCAATTAATTATCAAATTAATGTTTTGTGTAGCACTAATAGATACTGAATTACTTGGTGTTAAAATACATCTAGCTTAACTGTTAAGAATAAATTTAAAGCAGCAAATTCTCAGCTCCAACTATTAAACTCTTAGAATACCTGTATGGATATTTATTCTAACACATGTAATTTATCACTAGTTATAAATTACAACTTCCCCTGAAATAGTTTAATCATTATGGCCCCCTGTAAACAAAACCTGCTGTTTTCTAGTCACATACTTATTTCCTCCAGAGAAAATAAAAAGTTGCATCTATTTTCTGTATAAAATTTCTAAAAGGTCAGCCTATGAAATCATTTCTAGCATGTTAAAAGATGGTCAGGTTCTTGCTAAAGCTTTCCTTGTAGAATGGGAATGAGAGTCATATGAATATTAACTCTAAAAATACATATTCTTTAGTTCCTATATCTATAGCTCCATTTAAAAAAATCCATTATGAACAGTATCCTCCACTAGAATAAATTATTATTTACGGACATTATATGTCAGCAAATCAGCTTGGAACTCCACAAAACTGATAATAATTGATCACATTGCTTTAAAATGGTTTATTTACTGTTTCTAGGATATATGATTTATGTTAGTGGTATGTTAAATTGGTTCATTCAACAATTCTTTATTGAACATGGGGTTAATATGTGATTAAAACACTTTCTTCCCCATGACATTAAATCATTAATTATATTCTAGTATAATAAATGTCCCTTATATTGTAAGTTTCCCAGCAAAGTCAGAAGCACTCCCATGAGATGACAGGGATAACATGTACTGGTAGAAGAGTGGTCTTAATCCATTGAAACAAGTGATGACAGAAACTAAAATGCCAACTATTTGCTATCTGCCTAGACAATGTACAAATTAGGTCTTCTAGGCAGAAGATAATCAGATATTTTTATCCAAGACAGGTTCTATGTTTTCCCTCTACATGTCTCTCATCCCAATTCTTCTCCTCAGCCATGGCCAGAGTTTTCTATTATAAATACCAGACATAGTAGATGACTGACAAATTAACATTTCCTTGCTTTTTGTGTTTTTTTTATTTGTTATTTTAATTTATTGATTTCAGAAAGGAGGGGAGAGGGAGAAATATTCATGATGAGAGAGAATATTGATTGGCTGCCTCCTGCATATCCCCTACTGGGGACCAAGCCCTGATTGGGAATCAAACAGTGACCTCCTGGTTCACAGGTCAATTCTCAACCACTGAGCCACACCAGCTAAGCTGAACATTCTTAAATGTGTCCACTAACTGGATGTTTCCTGGCACACAAGTAAAGAGTTTCTCTGAGGTATTTAACTAGGAATAGATCTGCTAAGTTATAGGGTAAATGTATGTTCAATTTTAATAAACATGGCAGTAGGTGAGCTATATTCTATATTTTCTGTTATTTTCCCCTTTTATTTGTAACTTACCTCTGTAATCTATTTTGATTTTGTCTCAATGTATTATGTGTGGTGACAAGCTAATCTTTCCCTTCAAATAGATAATTTTCACAATCTTCTACATGTTGAATAATGAAACTTTTCCCAATTGATTTTAGCATGCTTCCCCTAAAGTTCTTGTATAAACTAGAATCTGTGTCAGCCCTATCTACTATGTTCTACTAGGTTGATAGTATTGATATTATCTATTATGACATAATCAATTAACCTAGCACAAGAGAAAACACCTATTCAGTGACCAGAGAGCTTGTACCCTTAGATTTATTGTCTTAACCTCTTCTAGACACAGGTATTGATGTTTAAGTCTCCTTTTCATTTGTTCCATCATGTTCAGACTTTTTCTTTTAAAGATATTAAACACTTAAAGGAACCTACTAAGTTCTTCGTATCATAGGGTCCCATAAAAGATTGTTACAAAGCCAGATCAAAAACAATATATAGATATGTTCCTCACTATTTGAATTCTCACTATAGGAGTGTTTCCTAAAATGATTGGCAAGTAGTTTTTTTTTTAAGCTAAAATTTGCTATGCAGGTTGAAATCTATTCTAATGAATGTGAAAATATGGTGCAGAGTTCCTTGGGATCAAAAGTGATACTCTTGCCCTAGGTGGTTTAGCTTGGTGGATAGATTCCTTGACTGGAATTGTCCCAGGCTCGATTTCAGTCAAGGGCATGTACCTTGGTTGCGGGCACATCCCTGGTAGGAGGTGTGCAGGAGGCAGGTGATCGATGTTTCTCTCTCATTGATGTTTCTAACTCTCTATCCCTCTCCCTTCCTCTCTGTAAAAAATCAATAAAATATATTAAAAAAAGAATATTTAAAAAAGAGTGATACACTCATATGTAATCTATTCCTCTGTCTTCTGCTCAAGTTACTTAGTATTGCTCATTATCCCCGTTTTCTTCCCATGTTTTTCTTAAGAGTTTTCTACTTCATGGGTCCCACAGTTTGCTTCTGCCAACTTGAAAGCATAGCCAACCTTAGCTCAGTTTAGACAGAATCATTAACATACTATTTTGTTATTTATGTTATAGTATAAGCTCCCTGCAGTTATAAGAAAAGCATAATTCAAAATTGATACTGAATAGTATATGAGTCCTTCACACACAATTAATGAATTCATAAGATGTTAAATAATTAGATAATATTTCTAATGCTTTATATTACACAGAAATCCCTGTGGATAGTTAAGTGCAAGTGATATCTGGGAAAATTAGTTGGGATTTCCATAGGCTGAAAACATATTATTACTTTTCTCATATATAATTATAAAATATAGGCTGGATGCAATCTGAAAATTTGCTACTCAATAAGCTTTTAATAAAGGATATAATTCAGTCAATGAGTCCTGAAATTATCATTTGATAAATTCACATTTCAACCTTGTCTCTGAGATTATACATTATCTTGGAAATTCTGGGTTTTCCCAAATTCTTACTTATAGATAATCTCTGGTTTGCTAATGGTATGCTAAACTATAACCAGTGTTTATGGCTTTTATTATTCTTGAGGAACATATGACTATTTCTTCCTATTCTGACAACTGTACATAGTAAATGCTCTATAAGTAGAAGCTGCTATTGACATAATAGAATACATAAGCAAAATTAAAATGTTGGTAAAATGATATTTGTAATTAAAAAACTTGAGGTAAATGGAATGTATAACTTCTTGATCTTGAGACTAGCAAGTACTTATGCACACCACTATGAACACATCACACTATGTTATTAAAGTACCTTTCAAAAGGGTTATTTCAATTTATATAAATGACCTCCACCCACCAAAAAAAAAAAAAAAAAAAAAAAAAAAAAAAAAAAATCCCTGATCATTGCATCTATTATTCCAAAATAAAAGTTCTCCAAATAGATGGAGAAAATCAATTTTGCCCACAACTAGATCTTGCACTCTCCCACATTAACCTTTTCTTCTGAAAAAATGTATTAAGTGAAAAAGTGAATATGTGAAGTAGAGACACTATCAAAGTGAGTGAGATTCTGGTGTCTTGCCTTAACAGTGAACACATGGTATACACTTAATATATATTTATCTTTTGAATGAATTACCTGACATGTTAAGATTTTTCTTTTGAATAAAATAATTCTTATTTTATCCACAAAGAAAAAAAATAATTCAAGAAAAATCTAACAAAATTTTCTTACCCACAGTCTGGAGCTGGACACCACCTACAGTCAGGATCTCCAACGAGCCACCGTCTAAGCATAAATTCTTCATATTTTTCCATTAACACATCATCACTTAAAATCAAGCGAATGTCATGGGGATTAAACCGTTCAGTACATTCTGGGCAACTGATGTTAACTCTACTTTCAGAAATTTCTATCCTCAGATATTGTCGTAAGCAATCCACACAAGATCTATGATGACAAGTCATTATCTCAGGAAATCTGTCTTTAGAATGCCTCAAAAGGCACAAAGGACACTCTATAAAGTCTCCACTTTGTTTGTTGATGGAGGTCAATCCATTGTCAGAGGAGGTATTTGTAGAGAAAATGGAGTTCTTATCAGTACACATTTCAGAATGTATACTTTCAATACTCGCAATTCCATCCACCCCGCCATTTAGCTCCCTTGATTTACGTTTGTTATCCTTTTTCCTCCGGAACAAAGAGCCTATTGAAATTCTTCTTTTCTTGGGTGCCTTTTTGACTGAAGGCAAGCTCACGGATGAGGCAGAAGACTGAAGATCTCGATCTGAACCCATTTGCCGATGTAAACTCATGTCTAAAATGCTCATTAGAAGTGAGTCAGGGTCTGTGTTTACACACAGCCCTTCATTATATTTAGAGATAAAACTTATTTCTTGTTCTTGCATTCAGATTAAGTCATGACGTAGGAAAATCCTACTTGGTCCCTTCAGAGAATTCTTGAAAGAGTTTGATTTACAGAAGGCTGTTATCATAGATGTTCTGGAAAACAAAACAAAAAGGTCATTTAATTGTATTTTCTTAGTCTACAGGTTTTTAAAATAAACTTTCAAATTCACTACGAAATTTCAAACAACTATGTTCTTAACCATTAGTTTAGTTTTGTTTTTTTTAAGTAAGGCCAATTTATTAAGTAGTCTACAAAAGAATATAAAACCAATGCTAAAATAACAAGGACATTATTTAATCTTAAAAGGCTTTAGATTTGAACTGAACTTATTAATTTTTTTATCATTATCACTCAATGATTTCCTACTGATTTAGAAATTTTTAAAAAATGGACAATAAAATGCACATGTACATACAAGGACTAAGTGCAACTTACACAATCTTTAAGAAAAATAAAGTGTGTGTTAGAGGGTGTTCTTATACTGCCAAGTATAATGATTATAAAGTTACAGTAATTAAAAAGAGTGTGGCATATCACAAGGATGAACACAAAGACCAATGAAAATAACACAGTTACGATAAAAAAAATCCAACATGTATATCCCGCTTGATTTACCGTATGTCAAAGATGACAATGCTGAGCACTAAGAATAGCTTTTTCAAAAACAAAACAAGTATTGCTTTACTGTTTACCATCTGAAAAAAGAAACCTGACGTATAGCTCACCCATACATTATATTCAATTCCAAATAGTTCATAATTCTAAGTGTGATCTGTAAAATCGTAAAGCTCCTAAACGTCAAAAGAAGAGACTATTATAATATAAAGACATTGAATAGAACATATGAAAGTGCTTACCATTTAAAGAGCTGCTAAATTTGATTACAATAAAATCAAGAAACAGTTTTAAGGGAATAAGAGAAGTCATTTGCAACATATGACTAAGAAGGACTAGTATCCAGAACACGGAAAGAACATTTATAAGTCAATAAGACAAAGCAGACAATCCAACAGAAAAATGGGCAAGGGATTACACAGACACTTCACAAAAGGATATGGAAAAGTGCTCAACATCTTTTGTGATCAGGGAAATACACATTAAAGCCATATTGAGAGACCACTATACCCAGTAAGATGGCTAAAATGTAGACTGCCATTTCCAATTATATAAAATTCAAAACAAACAGAACTAATCTATGATGCCAGAGTCAGGATTGAGTTACCTTTTGCAGGAAAGCAAAAAGGGAACTTTTACATGTGTAGTGGTTACTGAGGTATGTTCCGTTTGTAATAAAACGCTGACCTACAAACATGATTAATGCACTTTTCTGGATGATCATTATATTACAAAGGTTAAAAAAAAAAAAAAAAGCAACTTCTGATATCCACACATTCTTTTTTTTTTTTTTTAAATATATTTTATTGATTTTTTTACAGAGTGGAAGAGAGAGGGATAGAGCGTTAGAAACATTGATGAGAGAGAGTCATCGATCAGCTGCCTCTTGCACACCCCCCACTGGGGATGTGCCCGCAACCAAGTACATGCCCCTGACCAGAATCAAATCTGGGACCTTTCAGTCGCAGGCCGATTCTCTATCCACTGAGCCAAACCGGTTTCGGCCACACATATTCTTAAGAAAGTCATATTAATTTCCCAAAACAAATTCTTGAAAAAAATTTACTCAGGAAAACTTTATTCAAGTCCATCAGTTTATATTTTCTCATTAATTACAGTATTCTTCATTAATTGTGAAGAAAATTCTGCAAATTTTCTTCTTTATATGTCTTTTTATTTTCTCTTGCATCTCAAAATGCTTTCTGTACTATAGGGTTTTACCTATATCTATATCCATATCTATATCTATATTGGACAAGGTCCCCAAAATATACTTCCCCTACAATTCTGTTCTATGATACACCCCCCACCCCTACAATGCCACAGAACAGAACTGTAGGGGGAGATCTCTCGGATACTTTGTCCTAAGAATTTATCATTTAAAATATAAAACTGGTGGCACTTAATCAGTATCACCTGAGGTATTTTTCTCTTTAACCCTTTCTTTTATTTATTTACTAGAGGCCCAATGCATGAAGATTCATGCAAGAAAGGGCTTCCTCCCCCTGGCTACTGGCACCACCTTTGCGCTGGCCCACAGCCACCTTTCCACCTTCCCAAGCTGCCCAAAGACCTGGAGAGGCTGAGGCAGTAAGGAAGGCCTGTGTCCTGCCCCACCCCTGGCTGCTCAGTGCCTGCATATGCAAATTAACCTGCCAACTTTACTGGGTTAATTTGCATACTCACATCCTATTGGCTGGTGGGTGTCACGAAGGCATGGTCAATTTTGCATCTTCCTCTTTTTTTTTATCAGTATAGATTTTTCTGTCACCATTTATCCCTCTGTGCCTTTTCCACCCTGCCCCACTTAATCACTACACTGTGGTCTGTAGCCATAAGTTCTTTTTTTTTTTTTTTGCTCAATCCCTCCACCTTACCGCAACATCCCCCCCAACACCTTATTAGAGTGAATGAAAGTGCTATTGAAATTTAAGTTAGGATAACAGGAGCAAATTGAAGCATATGGTTATTCTACTTAGGAAGTCTTTTTAAAATGTACAAATATACAAATATGCCTCAAAAGAAAACAAATTTGAATACTAAAATTGTAATATTTTTGTATAGTAGAAATACTGTAAAGTAGAAAGACACAATATACTAGGAAAACATGTATAATAATAAACAAATTTCCTCACTATGCAAATAGCTTTTATATATTAGTAAGTCCAAACTAATAGCAAAATGAGCAAAGATTCAAAGAGAAAGTTTTAAGAAAAAGAATTACAAAAATTATGAAGGTAGGAAATAATGTGCAACAATCACTACTAGAGAAATGAAAATCCAAACATTAGATACCATCTTTGCATTAATTAGATTGACAAAGGCTGTAAAGGTTGGTCAGTGTGAACTGAAAGTATTTCACATACAGTTGGGAGAGGTGCAAATCAGCACAACTTAGGAAAACCAATTTGACAATGTCTATTAAACTTCAAAATGAAAATACTCTTGACAGCAATTCTACATGTAAAATATATCCTTCAAAGAATATGACACAAGTGTTCAAATACATATTGTGCAAAGAAATTCACTCCAGCCTAGTTGATAGAAGCAAACAAAACAAAAAGAAGAAAAAAGGTCCTCACAAAACCTGGAAATAACTTGTATCCAATAGGGAACTGGAAAAAAGAAATGAACCAATCATAATTTATCTGCAATGATATGGAAAGATCTCTCTATATAATGCTGAGTGAACAATAACAATTGCAAAATAGTATGAGCCATTTGTGGAAAAAACACCTCCCTCCCCACAGGCTTACATATGTACACAATTTCTGGGGGAAAATGTTACAAAACCATTAATAATAACCGTTGCCTTAGGAAGAGCAATCTTTAGATTCACTTTTTGCCTTCTGCATAGTTTAAAATTGAATCATGAGCATCTATTATAGTTTTAAGAAACCCTCGTTGAACTTCACAATCAATAAAAATATTCTGCCCTAGAACCACTTAATCAAAGTGAAAATGGGATCCAGAGCTTGTATGCTTTGAAAATGTTCTTCAATAATTTAAGTGTACACTCTTGTTAAGAACCGCACAGATGGACTCAGAGGGCAGGGTCAGATAGGCAGAATTGGAGAATTTTGCCCTTCATAGCAGGATGCAGTCTTTCTGCAATGTGCCTGCCCATGTGAAACCATCCTTGCAACCTATGGGGTTTCCAGTCACTCATTTTCAGCCATACTGGAACTCATCTTAGTGATGCTAGGAGCATGCAGCAATTATGAATGGAAGGTACCTGAGAAGTAAAAATGGCCCTAGGTAGGGAAAGATTCAAAATTCAAGTTTCCTAACTGGAAGGAACTGTGCGGTACAGAAAAATGAGAGACATTCTGGTCTTACAGCACTGCACTGGGTCAAGGGTACATGTTACCAGAGTCTCCCTTGGAAGTGGGGAGGAACTGGTGGTGAGACACTGATTTCTCTTTGGGACTTATTGCAACTTTGCTTGCTAAATAAACAGTGTTGGGGACATCCCCAAACTTGACTTATTTTTTTGGTTTTGCTCTTTGTGTTAAATAAAGTTCCTGGGGCTGTGAAAAAAGGAAGTAACTATCCATAGCACCTCCTATACAGAGAGTTGCAAAGAACCACCTATCAAATTTAAATATGGTTACGTACAATTTAATTTTGCAGTTGACTACCAAAAAGCAAAATTAATGGCCTTAAGCCATCCATTGATCAGACCAAAACTAGAAGTGATGTACTAGAAAGGATGTATTGGCACACAAGCTAACTTTGGCACAAAGTAAATAGAGCTTTTATAAAACTGAACCCATCTCATTAACAGAAGTTTAAGGCATTAAATTGTTTGGATTTCCATATATGACTTTCTCTGAACAGTAGTAAATCACTAAGCTCATTATAATGAAGTCTGCTATTGCTCAAAAAGGTTATTTAAATATTTAAAATTATTTTAAGTATGTCATTCATCTTACCCACTGCAAATTTGGAAATGCCATATTTTCTTCTAATAAATCTACTCCACAATATAGCTGCCATATTCAGTTATAGCAACAATACAGACCCTGGACATAATTCTTGCAGTCCAAATACTATTAAGGAGACAGATACTCATTACTCTCTTATAAAACTGACTTATTAAACATCTCTTTTTACAGTCTGTTAAAGTAAAAATACAATAAGTACCTTAACAAATTTTTGGAGAAGGATAACAATGCTTAAAAATAACAGCTTATATGGGTAAGCTTCAGAGAAATCCATGAAGTCTCTAAAACTCTAATTAAATTGTGAATATATATATACTTTAGGGATAGAATCTGTAGCTTTCAAAAGATTCTCCAAGGAGTCTAAAGTATAATAAAAGGTTAACTGCTACTGCTGAGATATTAGATTTTAATTTGCCAGTAAAAGTTAACATCAGTT